TTATAGTTTAACGAGCATCCAATCACAAACAAAATAAATAGATAAGAAAAATAACATAATGATTTAACGAAGTTTGGCTCCAACTAGAAGTAGAGAGAATTTTTCACTATGAAAGAGAAGAAATGTACAATGATTTATGAATCCTGAACTATAAATCCAATTTTTAGATCTCAAGCAATCATCTCAAACCTATAAAAGAAAAGTTTTCTCAATCCTAAAGAATAATATATTTTCTTTTTTCAAATCTATTAAGTCAATGAGTTTCCTAAACCAATAGGGATTATGAAATTAATTTCCTAAATATACAAGAAAATATTCAGGGCATAATTAACAAATCATCCCTTTGACTTGATTTCTCTCATCACCGATAGAAACGACTTTTTGTCTTGCTTTCTTAACCCTCAAAAGGGCTCAATTGAATACTGACTTACCAATCAAGTTTAGGCAATGCTTAAATTTATTGATCGAAATTATCTTTGATCATAATATATATGTCAGATCGATTATCAATACATTATTCACGTTAACTATCTTTTTTTATACAATGTCTCGAGATCCTCTATGAATCCCCTAACTGCAACCTTATATATAGATTTCATAAATAGTTTCAAACTTATAAGAAAAAAAAACACCTCAATCCTATAAAGACAATATATATTTGACGAGAGGGAGTTGCTCGGATGGTAAGCACCCCTCACTTCCAACCCAAAGGTTGCGAGTTCGAGTCACCAAGGGAGCAAAAGGGGTGGGAGCTCCTAGGGAAGGAAAAAAAAGAAGACAATATATATTTCTTTAATTTTCCCAAATCTATGTAGACAATAAAATTTCTAAAACAATAGAAATTATGTTTTTTCTAAATATACAAAAGAAAATTCAAAATGTAATTAACAACTTTATTACTTATATCATATATGTTTATAATAGCGGAACTAGAAATTTCTATAAAGGAAATTGAAAAGGAAAAAGAAGTTATAATAATGTCACACTTGAAATTTGAATCAGTGGAAAATTAACAATCATATATATGAGAAAATTATTTTTTTTCTCAATTTAGACAATATAATTTTTTTAAATAAAATATATATATATTTTAATATTAAAATAATAATATTAATTTGCATGAGTTAATGGTGATAAAAGTGTGCAATATTTTTAGTGCAACTTATATAATTACTATGATAAATATGCTTCACCATTAATTACCTCCCTACGACTTAAATATTGTAACCATTATCACATGTCTTCACTTAATATCTCACTATTCTTTAATTCACTCTATTAAAGAATTCCTATACGTATAGTCGTATATACTAAGGTGTTTCTTCCACAAATTTCGATATGAAAAATATTATATTATGTATAAGAAATGTGTAAAAAAATATTGTAGTGTTCGTGATAAAAGTGAAGTAGGTGTGTAGGAAAATAGAGCTGAGAGAAACAAATGTATTCTCTAACTCCAACTTATTTATTACATATATAAAAAAATATTTTGAAGGAAAATGTTTTTATGATAAAGATTTGGACTCAATCGATAGCTGGGCTGAAATTGTTCAAGTCACACCACTTGAAGAGATAAGTCAACAACATTATTGTTGCACCCGATGAAGATTATATTATAGTGATCTTGAATCTTAGAGTCGAATATAAATAGGAAATGTATATAAATGTTAGTTGCACACTTTTTTGTATATTTCATAGCACGTTTGTAGGTGTGACCACAACTTATCTTTTAAATGATTAAAATTGTGGGGATAGAATGATAAGTTGAAATTTAGTTGAAGAATTAAAAGAGAAGTGAGTCTTCCTCATAATTTGAAGTCTTGTTTTTTGAGTGGCCAAAAGAAGAGAATACCATGATAATTTTGCACAATTTGTCTCTAGCTGCCTACTGCCTCTTTTATTTGTCTCTCTCTAGTTTTTAACCTACATCCCTTACTTACTTCGGAAATTACAAGGTTGAGAGTCGAACTCTCATCAATAAATTAAAGTATTGTCAAGAATTTAACCCTTTACAAGTATGAAAAGACTATAAGTGAGACACTAACCAATAGAAAAGCTCCATTCGATCGAGTCCTAAAATACTATGTCTAATAGAAATGCCCCACCGGAAAATATCATTACGCATGCCAATTAATATTCCTCTATAATTTGCGGGATCTTGTAATATAGTTGTATGGATATGTATATGATATATCTGTCCTGTGTCCTTTTATTATGTGTTTTCAAGACACAAATCTTTCACTGACTTCGGACCACGAATTCTCACTTTATCTCTAACAACAGTCATTTGATAAACCTGATAAGAAGATTATATAATAGCAACATATACTTTGATCATTTAATTGACCCATGATTGTCACTTTGCGCTTATTTCATGCTGACAAAAGTAAAAGTGTCCATCAATTTTACATACTATTAGATTTGAATCAATAATTAACTTTTATAGTGTGTAAAAATAAAAATAAAAACTCTTTTAGATGTTTCACCTTGTCTTAAAACCTCAATACTACTGTTTTGGATAGATTTATGGTAGGATCTCTTAATTATTTAATCCCAATTTTGTTGCTTTATATATATATAAATAAACTTTTTTCTCTTTCACATACAAGACATATCATGTGAGATTTTAGAGTCCTTTCAATTTATGTATATTTTCTTATGACCTCCACCACCAATAATGTCTAGTGTTTTGTCTCCTTTTCTATACGAAGACAAAAGTTGTTTTATTTCTGAATTATGTTGGTGAATACCTTCTAACCTTGGTGATTTTATTTATGTCTTGCATTAAATTTTCAATTTTTGCAACTGTTCTTAGACGCAGAGCCTCAATACTAGCTGTAAAACCTTAAGTTTATTTCTATTGAGGTTGATGTATATAATTAAAGGAGATGAATTTTTTTTATGTGGTTAACTTAACTATCTAATAGATGCTTGAGGACACACCCATAAGTTTTTTTCTCCAAAATTTGAACCACAAATGTCTAATAGTAACACTTCATCATGTATTCAAGTGCCCAGTTGATAAATGTTGATCCGTTGATGTATTAAGCCAAATCTTAAACTTATTTAGTACGAGATCTAAGCAATTAGATCTTTTGAGAACGTTGCAAGACTTTCTCAGTAGACGTTTGGTATGCAGACTAAATTATTTTAGATTTATAAATCCTGGACCAACTTATTCAAATGAAAAAAATCAGGGGCGGAGCTAACCAGGGTTAAGGGGGTTCATCCAAACCCGCTTTGACAAAAAAATATGCCATTTACACATGGTAAGAATTTTCGTACGTATATATAGTATATGTTGAACCCCTTTAGAGTTTTGACCTTTTCGTATATTTACTTTTTATGTTTCAGACCCTCTTAATAAAAAAGCTTTGTCACTAAGACAAAATAATTCCTAGTTAAATGAGATAAAAAGGTGTGATATCCAAGAATTGAGTTTGCATTATGCTTTTATACTGTCATCCAATCTATGAAAGTTTGGTAAAGGATAGTGGAGTGGTGAAGATGGATGTGACCGTTTACGAGATTCAATACAGATTCATGCCGGGGTGATTGACTACACAAGTTATACATTTGGTGAGGAAACTGATGGAGAAATATAGGAAAAGAAATAAGGACTAACATATATTGTTTATTGATCTTGAAAAGACTTTCGAGAAAGTCTCAAGGGAAGTCCTTTGGAGAAATCTAAAGGTTCAAGTCATATCGATGACTTATATTAGCGCGATAAAGAACATATATGATGGATTCTGGGAGGAGATTTAGAGCACTTCTCAGTTGAGATTGAGTTATACTAGAGATCAGCTCTTATTCCATTTCTATTTGCCTTGGTGATAGAGGAATTGACACGGTGTCTTCATTATGAGGTGTCATGGTCTATGATATTTTCGAATTACATGGTATTGATTAATGAGACGTAATAAAGTTAATGCTAGGTTGGAGGTGTGGAGACAAACTCTTGAGTCTAAAGGGTTTAGATTGAGTAGGACCAAAACCGATTATTTGGAGTACAAATTTAGTGATATAGTGCATGAGAGAGACGTGGAAGTGAGGCTTGACACACACGCTATTCCCAACAGAGATAATTTCAAGTATTTTGGGTCAATAATCCAGAGAAGTGGGGACATCGATGATGATGTCACTCCTGATCGCATTGGTGCGGTGTGGATGAACTGAAGATTTGCTTCCAGAGTCTTGTGTGATAAGAAGGTTTCATCTAAACTTAAAAGGTAAATTCTATAGAGTTGTGGTTAGACCAACATTGTTATAGATGCGAAGTGTTGGCTAGTCAAGAACTTTCATGTTCTAACGATCAAAATTGAGGATGTTGAGATGGATGTGTGGGCAAACTAGGAAAGATAAGATTAATAATGATGATATCTGGAGCGAGGTGAGAGCTAGACCTTGTGGTAGACAAGATGAGGGAAGCAATATTGGGATGGTTTGGACATGTGAAGAGGAGATGCGTAGATGCCTCAAAGAGGTAGAGATATATAGGCAAAAAAAGTATCAAGGATAGCTAATTAGATAGGACATGTGGCAACTCCAGATTATCCAAGACATGACCTTAGATAGGAGAGTGTAGAGGTCGAGGTCAAGGGCTTTAGTCGTATTCAAATTTAATCCTCATAAATCATGGCTACCAAACATCCCTCAAAGAGTTAAAATGACTGGGACTAATGAAAAGGACTTGGCAGAGTTGATTACTATAATTGAAACGCCTACTTTTAAGATGTTAAACATGTTTATCTCTCTCCTATTATTGGCATAAACGCCGTAATATCTGTTGCAATGGCTTTTGATTCCTCTGTAAAGAGTACTACTGTACATAACCCCACCACTGTTTCTTCTTATCTCCACATTCTTGATTTGACATTTGCCCATTCTCCCCCCCTTCTCTTTATATCCACTACCACCAATCCTTTTCTCATCTCTATAAATCCTTCCTCTCTATCTTTTTCCACTTTCACAAACAACTCTTACCACAAACATCTCGCGCAAACATGTTACAAATGAGTGTTCTTGAAAGGCAAAGAGCAGTGTTGGAACGTCTTTATAACCATTCTAAGCAGCAACTTTCTTCTCTACCTCAACAAGAACTTGCTCACTTGTTTACCGGCTGCGTTCAGGGGAATTTTAACAACTTTGATATATTTGGTGGGAGAGAACATAAGGGATTTGCAGGGTCTAATTTTGTTAATTGTCAAGAAATGTCTCGTCCCTCTTTCTCTACAGTATCGAATTCATCGATTACAACAGTGTCTCCACCTCCAGAGAAAGAAAATGATTTAAGTACAATGATAGCTCCAAGGGAAAATGTTGTTTCAACCAAGAAGAGAAAAGCAGAGGTTTGTAATAGTATATATATAATTATGCCTCGATCGTATATAATTCATTCAATTAATCTGAATATCTATGTTTTATTCTGTTTTTTGCAGTTTTCTGAGGAAGAGGATTGTGAAAAAAGTCCAGGAAATGATTCGAAAGAGAATTCGAAAACGTCTGAAGTTCAAAAACCTGATTACATTCATGTCAGGGCACGTCGTGGCCAAGCTACTGATAGCCACAGCTTAGCAGAAAGAGTAAGTGCACTTGTTGAATAGTCGTTAAAAGCTTAAACTGTTAGAGAGAGTCGTATGTTACTGTGATTTCTAATAGCAATTTTGGCCTTATGCAGGCTAGAAGGGAGAAAATCAGTAAAAAGATGAAATATTTACAAGATTTAGTTCCAGGTTGCAACAAAGTGACAGGCAAAGCTGGAATGCTAGATGAAATCATAAATTATGTTCAATCGCTTCAGAAACAAGTCGAATTCCTTTCCATGAAACTTGCTACTCTGAATCCTAGGCTTGATTTGAACACGGATAACATTTTCGCCAAAGACTTCCCTTCTTACATGGCCACTACTTTTCCACCAACAGTAGCAATTCCAACACTTTCAGAATATAACATAATCCAACACCAGCAAGCCGGTGATGTCGCACAAATGTTACCCCAAAGAAGAGATTTAATGTCATTTCCAGACACTTATCTTGGTTCTTCACCTCTTACGGTAATTTCTCAACTAACTAATAGTTATTATCTCAGAAAGTCATTTTCTCGTTATCTTAAGTCGATCTGTTACTGTTCTATTGCAGGTAGTACAACAGCAACAACCAACTTTTGAGCCTGATTTGCAGAGCCTTTTCAGTGTTGGATTTAACTAGTTTAAAAAGATTGATCTACAAAGTTTGAAGTGCAAAACTAGTATTGATCTCATTCCAATGGCTCCTGTCCTGTACACAAAATTCGCATCCTTTCGAGTCAATTTTTTTTTGAAGTTAGCAACTGTGTTAGAAGGCAAACACCCCTATCCCTCCCCCTCCAACCCCATAAATCACAATGAAGAGAAATTCTTTTATCTTACACATTTATAAGGCATCTTATAATTTGTTCATATGTATAGCCAAAGTTGCATCCAGTCATCCACTATTTGACTGATATGTAATAAAAGATTGAATTTTCTACTCTTTTTTATTCTTTCCCTGATGATCTTATGTTTGAATACAGTAACAAAGCAAAATTGTTGAGTGATCCAACTTTTATGGTTAAGACAAGAAGACAGCCCTTTGAATATTAGGCAACAAATATGTTAGTCAAAAATGGAAGATTTTACATGAACGAGCTGGTTGATTTTTCAAATGATCGCTTAACTAATAGTTATTCAATATAGAAAGTGATTTTCTGAAATAATAACAAACATAGAAAGCAACTCAAGAATGACCTCAAGAAGATCCACTATGAAATGAGAAGTAGTCAAAGGTACTACACTAGTGTTTGAGCATTGTGAGGACAAACAAAGAGAGGTGATGAAATTAGAGGGAGGGGGGGGGGACTATTCATAAAGATGTGGTGTTATGATTGAGATAATCTACTCTTAACCAACTCGAAAATCGAGAACCTTTAGTAAAAAGCATCTTATCTGCTCAGTGAATATACTCGACATAAATTCGAATTATTGAGATTAGTAGACATTGGATACCAAATATATAAAAGGTGGTTCGGTCCATGAAATATCTCGCATTCACATAGAATCCGGAGAAGAGCCACATACAAGGGGGTGCATTACATACAATAGATTCTGACACAAGTATTAATGAATGATTTTACAACTTGAACTCATGACATATAGGTGATGTTTCTTATAGAAGAAAAAAGGAACTTAAAGGAGAAGAGAGAAGGTGAAATAAACAAAAAAATAAAATAAGGATCTATTCCTAAAGATATGTTGTGATGATTGGTATAATCTACTCTTAACTGATCTGTGAAAATAGAGAACCTTTCGGTAGCGAGCATTTTATTCCTCATTGAATATACTCGATGGGAATACGAATTATTAAAATTGAGACTAATAACTTTGGATACCAGATAGCTCGGTACACAAACTATATCTCATGCATGTTAACTTCGGATTGGAGAAGGCCACACTCTAAGGGAATATGATATAGACCGTCTATCGAAATACAAATATTAGTAATTGATTTCACGATGGTTTTAAATAATTTAGAAAAAAGGAAATAAAAGGAGAAGTAGTGGAAATTGATGGGCAGTGGTTGAGTGGTCCATATTTTTAGTTGCGTCTGCTTGTGAAATATGCTTTGTTTAGAATGGGGACAAAGAGGGGCCTAGTTCAAATGGGACAATCACCTAATCAACAACTGGTGTTTCTTCTGAATCGACTTCTACTCCCTTACAGCACATGACAAACCAACAATGTGTTTCAAAGTTCACAGTGCAACTAAATTTCGACTCCTTCCGTTTCAATTCAAGTGTTTTAGTTTTGACTGGATAGAATTTTTTTAAGAAATAAAAGTGAGACTTTTGAATCTTTGTGATTTTAAATTATATATGTGTGTACTCGTTTGAATCTCGTCATCTTTAAATTGTCATATAAAATGTTCGTATTCAAAAACTTACTAAATATAGAAAAAGACGTATTGTGACGTGATTGGAAGATTTCAACCTACTTGAGCAGCACAGAGAATTTGTTCCATTGTCCAATGAATGTTTTCAGAGCATCGTGTATCTAGTGTATCAGCTAAATGAAGTAATGAAATAAATTAAATGACAAGTTTTCTCTGAGAATAAGGTCCCGTTTGGACATGATTTGAAATTAGCGATTTGATATTTAATTTATTTGAAGTTAAAGTTTTGTTTGAATATGCAATTTAAATTTCTTAAGTTGTATTTTTTCTCTCATAAACATGAAAATTTCACAAGTTAAATAAAAACTATCAAAATTTCCCCAATTCGTATTAGGGGTGTGCAAAAACTGAATTGACCGATAAATCGAACTGAAAAAAGTGTTATTGATTTATTGTTATTGGGTTATTGGATTAATGGTTATTTAATGGTTTTATAAAAAAAATTACTAGGTTATTGGGTTAACCGATTAAGAATATAATAGTTTACTATTTTAATTTTTAGATACATAAATATCAAACAAAAAATATTACTTATAATCACTATATTAGACTATAACTATAAGGACCCTACACAATTAACACTACTTAAATCTGCTTTCTGCATTTACCCTTTAAGTTTTAGTATTACTAAAGTATTTAGATTCACAATGTCAAAACCTAAAGAACTAAGAACGACAACGGGTAGGATTTGCAACGACGACGACAAGGGTTATGCAACTTCTAGGGTTGTGCTATACTTTTACTACACTAAGCAGAATTTTTGCACTCAATGAGTAATTTGATTTTTCTCTTTTTTATTTTGCGTCAAATTATTGGACAAGTCATATATTTGTTTTGAAAACATATTTTTATTGTTAAACCAAAAACTGAACCGTTAAAAACCAAAAATTGTAATCGAATACCGATAACAAATATCTTATTGGTTCAGTTATCGGTTTAGCATATTTAAAAATCAAAAATCGATAAACCGAATCAATAAACTTAAAACCGAACCGAACTGACTGAGATCACTACAAAAAAAGTGGGAATTACATGGGGGTTTTCCTTGGGATTAGTATGAAAATTCGCAGGAAACTTATTTTCCTGCAAATTCTCATACTAATTCTCAGGAAAATCCCCATGTAATTCATAGTTTTCTTGTAGTGCGATACACACTCCTTATTCTTATACGATTTTACCAAATGAATAAATTATAGTTCATAAACAAGATATCGAAATATAATAACGCACCACATTGATAATTTACACTATTACTTTTTTCAAAATTGAGGGTATGAGAAAGGGAAATAGGGAAAGAGATTACAATGTGAGAATTGAACCCTCACCAGCAAGGTGAAAAGCTCAAGTAGCCAACTAACTGAACTACAAAAATTTCTAAATCACATATCTGCACGTGTCCTTTAACCCTTTATAAATAAATATTTGCGATTTCAAACTTCAAATACACATAATTTTATAAGGATCCACTAGTCAACAATAATAGTAACTAACTATTCCTTAATATAATCCTTTCACATGGTAGGAACAATCTTTTCACGCTGAACATGAGTCTTTTTTTTTAAATTTGGAATGACAATTTTTTTATTTAAATTATAAACGTATGAGTCAAATTTTACATTTAAAAAAAACTGAATTCACAATTTGAAATCTCAAATCCTACTTTTTGAAAAATTTAGTATTTGAAATCATGATCTCAAATCGCATGTCCAAACACATACTTAGATGATTACAAAATAGTTAAAGATAATTTAAACCTCCTTTGTTTACACTTAATGGAAATTCTAATTAATTATTTAGATCTTAACAATTTTATTTATTTATTTAAAAACTTTTAACTATTCAATATTAAGTACGTTTTCTTAAACCAACAATTTGGCATGGATAATTCCTTCAAATGTAGAAGAGGATGAAGCTTAAACTCATTATATGATGGATATACGAAAAAATCCTCCCATTCTTCTAAAGTTGGTTTTCTTAATTCTATTAAGGCAAATTCCAAACTCACGTGTTTGAGAGTGTTGTGAAATCTTAGATAGCGATCAATCTCAAATAATTAGCACCCTAATCAAATCAAGATCTCTTTCAATACAAGGACTCCCAATAACATAACATTTTATTCGATAAGTTGGTCGATGAGATGTAGATGTAGATCGAAAAAGTATTGGGGAGAGGTGATTAGACAGAACATGATGCATATTCAGTTTACTGAGGACATGACCTTAGATATGAGGGTATGAAGATCACGTACCATATGATAGAAGATTAGTAGGTAATGAAAGATTGTTTTTGTTTTTTCGAGAGTTTAGGCTTGTTGGTGTTTGTCATTGTACTAACCATGTTATTCTTGCTTAGGATATTTATCATGGTTTGTTGTTTAATGTGTTTCGACTATCGCATTATTTTGTTGTTCCTGTTCATTTCTCTACACTATTTCCTTCTTTTTGCACTTGAATTTGTTGCTCTTGAATCCGGTGGTCTTTCAAAAATAAACTCAATAGCTACCTCCACGGGGTCATGGTAAAATCTGCATATACCTTATCCTTTTATCCTAGCTACATTCTATCCTTTTTATATCCCATTATGAGATTTTACTGAATATGTTATTATTGTATGATAAAATCAATTATTTCAAATTATCACCCCCAACAACCCCTTATAAAATTAAAAAGTATAGTTTAAGATGCCAGCTCTCCACCCTTTCTTTAATTTATCAACTTATAATAGTTACTCTTAAGTGACAAACATTATATTATCAAACATATAAAAGTTCGATTTATGATACCATCTAATTTCCATGTCCCATTTTAATTGTGCTTTTAACTTCTTCTTTTTCCGTCCATTAAAAATAATAATAAATAAAAAATATAATTTATTAAGTAATTTATACTCCCTCCCATTTTATGTGGCACCATTTCTTTTTTGGTCAGTCCCAAAAAGAATGTCACATTTCCTTATATGATAAGTATTTAATGGTACAATTCATCTTTTACCCTTGTTGGTACCACTTAATCTTAAAATAATACTCCAAAACATTTATGAGGAGAGAGAAAAGTGAGTCTACTTTTTAAAGGGCAATTTGATAAACATTTCAAAGTCTTCATTTATTTCTTAAACTCCGTGTCCGATCAAATGTTGCCACATAAAATGGGACGGAGGGAGTATTATTTAAATAGTTTTTAAAAATTACTTCTTTAACGTTTAGTTGCCAATTTGGATCTTTGATTTTTTAAAATAACATTTCCTTTTTAGATAATTTTTTAAGATATAAATTAGAATATTTGAATTTATGAAGAAAAAAAAAATGGTGTAACACATCCTCCATTTCCCCAAATCCACTTTTCAAAATTGAAAACCAGTATGCGCTCGAAAACCTAGGGTTTATGTTGTTGCAAACAATTGGGGATTTTACCTAGTTGAATTAAGAGCTTAATCAATGGCGGATTCATCAGAGGGTGAGGAAGAAGGGAAACTAACAGGAGGAAGCCAGCAGTTAGTTGTAGATGATGACCTCCGGGAGATGGGTAAAAAAGCAGCTTGGAGTGTCAGCTCTTATAAACCCGGCAATGGGGTTCTTTCACTTCGCGATGATAACCTTGAAACCTATTGGCAGTAAATATTCTCGATCATCCGTCACTGTTTTCTACTCGTAGTTTCACTGCATGCTGATTTTTGGGTTTTGATTTCTTTGTGTATTCAGGTCAGATGGTGCACAGCCTCATCTTGTTAATGTTCAATTTCAGAAAAAAGTTAAGCTTCAAGTAGGTTCTATCTTACGTACAAGTATATATTTCTATTTTCCTTCGTCACATACTTGGCTATTATGAACTCCTCGTCGAAAAATACTTAACAATTAAAAGATGTTATCTTTATGGACGAAAATGAACAATCTTTCTTAATTTAAAAAGTTGCTTTATGTGATGGTTAACAGTTAACACTTCCTTCTATGAGTTATGGGTTTAAAGTTTTTTTTTTGTACATAAACTTTTGCGATGAATAGAAGTGATTTACTATATAATATGAAGTTCTCTTAAATTTTTCTTGAACTTAGCTAAGGCTATACAATTAAGTTTTTAGGTGAAAGAATGGCATATGTCATACATTTATTTGTTTGGTGCATTCACCGGATGCGAATAAATTTTTGCAGCCATGCTTTTTGGCTAATCACATGAGACTGGTTTTAATTTCTTTCTTATCTTTTTATTGTTTTGTGTTAATTGTTCTCAGTTAGTCGTCCTGTATGTTGATTTCAAGCTTGACGAAAGCTATACACCTGGTAAGATCTCTATCCGAGCAGGCGATGGCTTTCACAACTTGAAGGTAATAGTATAATGGAACTCTGAGATAATTGTCAAAATATTGAATTAGTTATAACAGTTTAGTTTCAGAAACTTGAGACATTTATGTTCTTTTTTTTTTGTTTTGAAGGAGATAAAAGCAGTGGAACTTGTGAAGCCAACTGGATGGATGCATATATCTTTATCTGGTAATGATCCACGGTAAGAAATTGAGACTTGGTCCCATGATTTGGCAAGTTTTTGACTTGTTTTCCTTCACTTCTTTTGCCAGATTATGCTGCATATTATTCAGTAGCTCTACACAGTTCCATCTTTCTAGAAAATTTATGATACCAAATTTGCTTGTGTTTCGACAAAAATGCAACCACTATGAGGCATTCCAATCATTAGAATTTCATTAATCCAATGGACCACGTGGACATATATACAAAGGAGTATTTAATCTAAAAATCTGAAGCTGTTAAACAGAAGTAAGAAACGACACAATTTTTCTCATTTCTCTTGCCAACTTATATATATTGAGAACAGTCTTTTTCTTTTGAATCATAGATGATTAGATGTGACCCGAGTTTGTTTATGCTTAGTCACACACTTATCCCAACACATTTTTTAGTAAAAAGAATGATTTTGATGGTTATATTCGCAAAATGTTGATGAGAACTAAATACTAGCAAAACTATGAAGGACTTCAATTTCTTTCTTTAGCATAAGCGAGCGACTAACTCTGGGAAAAACTGACAATGAAAGATAATGTGGCTTTCTTGAAACATACATGAAGGTCTCAGTAGGTGTTCGGACAATATTTGGTTGAAGTGAAAAAAAGAGAGAAGATTATTTGAAGTTGAAGTTGGGAAAAAAGTATTTGAAAGTTGAAGTTGTGTATGGTCATGAAATTCACTTGAAAACGTGTTTGCAAATGTTGAAAACTTGTGAGTGGCAAACATTATTTCACCTGAAATATTGACCAAACCATCACTTCAATATAATTACTCAGCAAATTGATGTCCAGATATTGATCTGCAAAATGACACCAAATCTAAATAAAACTAATGTGAAGTAGCAAAATGACACCAAATCTAAATAAAACTAATGTGAAGTAGTTAATTTCCTTACAAAAAATATTGAAATTTTCGTTGATATTGTGGAGATAAATAGAGGATTAAATCCAACCAAGACTAGAATGATTTAATTGTTGTCCATTTAGAATAATGAGGGACAAATTTTGTTAATATCTCATCCTGTTCATTTTTCTCTTTTATGGATTTGGGGTCTCTGTTCTGCACTGACAGAAAGCGTCTACCAAATATCTGGATAACTTGCAAACGCAAACTGTTATTGCGACTTTTAACATATTTTCTCTTTGTTTTTTGAGACGACCTCCAATTGCCTTGTGGAAATATGTTCTGCAAGTGTTGAACGCCATCCTCAGGTCTTGAACTCTCGTAATTTTATTCTATGAAGAGTAGATCTACCCCTGTTTCTTTAATAGAAAAGATACAATCCAACAAAGTTATCATCCTAAAAGAGGGAAAGGAGGAACTGTCCGTTTTTGTCAGTGAATTTCCTGCGCACGCTGTGACAAACTTGTCCATGCCACATTGGGTTTAAATTGTTTAGAGTTTCCTTACAAAAGCACATCTCAATTTATTCATTTATTAAGTTTGAAAAGTTGTTGGATGGGCATCAACTTTAAACAATATCATTACTTATCATCCTATTACCAATAAAATTATGTACTACCTTAGCACAGAAAAGTATCAGTTGACCTATCATGTGTCTGTGGAAGCTGTTTCTTTCATTATAAATTCATTGAGTAACCATATCCTAATTTATGTGACAGTGAAACTTTTGTCAACACTTTCATGCTGCAAATAGCTGTGCTCTCGAATCATCTTAATGGAAGAGACACTCATATCCGTCAGATTAAAGTCTATGGGCCAAGACCGTGCGTCATTACCCTTTGTCTTTTTTTTTTCTCTCTCTTTTCTTCATGTAAAATATCAGTTCCAGTAATTGTGCAAAGAATCTGATAGATGGCTTATGCAGGAACCCTATCCCTCTTCAGCCATTTCAGTTCACTTCTACAGAGTTTATTACTTATTCTGCTGTGAGATGAAGCTCAAGGGACTATCCCAAGAGGAAAGATGCCAACAATATTTATTGATATTAAAATGCAAACTGGGGATACAAAAAGAGTCCCTTTTTCTCTTGAAACAGACCAATCCTCCCATTAACAAATCTGAGATCCTGTCCTTGGATGACTTGAGTAATAGGATAATGGAAATTGGGTCCTACAATGGTAAAACCTCGTGAACCAGGCTTACTGCTTGACTACTTGCTTTTCTTCTTTATGATATTGTTAAGTCGTAGGCCTATTGGATGTCCATGGTTGGTTTGTGGTATTCTAGAAAATTCCTGTTTACAAGTCCTATTTGGCTTCATATAAACCCTGTCACTAGCAACCATGGTAGGGTCTTATATTAATTTGTATTTTCTCTCAATTTTCTGTAATACCTGGAACTGGAAGAGTGGATTCTTGCTCTTTCAGATGTTTTTGTTTCAAAGCATATTGCTAAATATTCGTAAATCGTGGTTTGATCTACTTTCTACATGTTTCATTCCTGATTGTACCCTTCCCGACCCAGTGCTTGGCTGCCAATTAAAAAACAAGTAGTATGTGGAGATGTATAGCATGGTGCACTAAGATGATCTGTAGTCATATCTAAGTACCATGATTTTGCCATGAAAGTTGAAGAATGATCTTGCTACGTAGCTTTGGAACTACGACTCCCTTTTTAAGTGCTATCAATTACTAGCATTTTGTGAAATTGTAGGATGATCATATGTTGGTTGTGTAGCAATGTTGCTAGACATGACCTTGGTAAACATACAAATTATACCCTGAACCCTTCATGGAAGTTGAAGAATGATCTTTCTACGCAGCTACTGGAACTACAATGCCCTGTTGAAGTTATCGATTATTAGCATTTTGAGAAATTGTAGTATGATGTTATGTTGGTCGTGTAGCAATGTTGCTAGACATGACCCCCAAGACAGTAACTTTATACTAGTCAAGGTCTGAAATCTATCATTTATATGCAGGCAACTTATTATCATTATTTCATCTGGTAGTAGAAATTTATGATAAACTAGATAACTAGATTCCAAGCTCTATGTATATGCCTCTGGGACTGGTTTAACTTAGCAGCTTCACCCACATAATCTAACCTCGGAAAAAAATTGATAAATTATTATCAGTGTTAGATGTAAAATCGTCTAGCCTTATCCAATCAAAACGTGCTTGTGAAAGTATCATCATCTTCTCGTGGTCATGCTAAACTTTCAAGTTATTCCATAACATAAGTAGGTCTTTCATAGCAAGTTTTTCATTTAAAAAACATTTTGTGGGAAGAAGACCAAATTGCATATTTCAAGTTGATGGTTAATATTTTTAGTCCAATTATTTATGAATCAAAGGGCCAAAACAGAAACTACCCCTACAGAGAACTAAATATTTACACCTTATTGTGTCGTATGGTAGAATAAGCTCACAAAAAGAGTAGAAAAAAACGAGGTAAAGCTATTATAAAAAAGTAAAATAGGATTATTAAATAATTAGTTAAGACAGAATGAAAATAAAAAGACCATCAAATTAACAAAAGTTCACTGCACGTAAACTTTACCAAATCGAACTTTAGGGAATTAAGAGAATCGATTATGAATTATTCAGCCATTCAGCAGAGTTGGAATGGAATTTGCATTTTTTAGACTTTTGAAAATACGATATGTACATAGAATAATAGTGTAATATCCAGAAACTTAACTTGTAATAGTAGGTTAATCACTATTTCTACCACACTACCATAACTCAAGTGGCTTTAGAGATTAATGCTGCTTTAGCATGATGAACAATAGTACAATACATGTTGATACAGGTGCTGCTATCTACACAGCTACTGTTAGAGAAGCTGCACGTTGCACTACGAAAATCCTAATTTACAAATATGACTGAAACTGGAAAACATTAATTCCAAAATCATTCACAGACTGGTTTTGTGTCAAAGCTGCTCAAGCAGATTGCAAAGGCTTGATAGGCAGAAAGAGGATAGCGGTAATCCATGGTAAATATGTCTTTTCCGATTTTTCCAAACTGTAAAATTACTTTTTCTTGTTCCGCGGCAGGTATATTGTGAGGAGAAGCCACCGTTGCTACTAGCTGGAAATTTTTTACAGAAGCCACAGTAACACGACCTCTAAAATTTAGGCACCAGCACTGCAGTTGTTCATGCCATCTAGGGGACTTGTTTTTAAGCACAAGTGACTCTTGAAGAGGCAATGGCACTGCTGAACTTGAAATACTAGGTGAACTGGCATCTTTAGCTGTCTCTTTGGAATCTGAAACTGATGGAGGAGATGCCTTTTCACCAAAAGACCGAGGGAATGATGTTGGTGTTGGAGCACTGCCTCCTTCTTGGATAGAAGAGAAAGGAATAGAATGCATCACACAATGCATTCTCCTAGGTCCTCTTGTACGGAGAACATTGAGTTCATAGGAGATGTTGGCGATAATGTAGTTGCATGCAGTTCCTGTTACGGATACCTGCTTTGTGCAGAATCTCCTACTACGTTGACTACGTTCTTGAATAGATGCAACACTGGGGGGTTGGCTATCGTATATGGTGAACTTGGTCCCAAGAAAGTTAGACCTGCTTATGTTGTTTTCAACAATATATTAACAAAATGAAAGGACAAGAACTTCGAAGGGTACTTTCAAAAGGGTGGTTAAGCACAAGTTAATAGAAGATAGTTAGCAGTTTGCGAGGACTTGCCTCAATTTCCCAAGGTATGTTTTGCTTGCTCGAGAAAAATCATCTGCAACCAATGAAATTACAAAATCTGTGCTTGTTGCCCTCCTGATCCTTCTGGCAGCCAGCAATAGTTTATCACTCTCATCCTCAGCTGTCATGTGAAGTAAGAAATTCAGATGTCTAGGGGGTTAATGGGATAATGCTCAAGACAACTATGGAACTGCTACAGTATTGGTGCATTAAATGGTTGGGAAAGACAGAAGTGAAAACTTGGAACTCAATCCCCATCAGCTGTCTGATGGACAATTTGGAAGGAAAGGAATGAAAGAATATTTGAAAGCAAAAGTAAATCATTAATTAGCATTAGGTATAGATGTATCTCTCTACTATTTTTTGGTGTACCCACATCTATTGCATATGAAATAAAAGCCATTAGACGTTTTGAGTTCTTTACACTTGTAACAATGGAGATCTTTCCGTAAATACTTCTACAGAACTTTCTTGTTGCTGGATACTCAATAAAATGCCTTTAACAATCAAAATAGAATTTCAGATGTGCATCTCCTTTAAAAAATCAGATCAGATGTGAGCCAATATTTTTATAATGAAAAATTATAGACCACAAACATTAAGCAGAAGTTCTAAAAGTTACTGTAATTATATTCCGGTGCAATAAAACTTGACAAGTATCACTAAAGACCCATCAACCCACGTGTACGTAACTCATCAAAGTAGAATTTCAGGGTTTACATGATGAAAATCGATTTATCAATCAAATACACAAGGTACCTACATCTTCAAGCCGGCAACAAGGCACACAATTATCGAAGAGGAAATCAATTTCATAATACAGTGTCGAAAAGGGGGGAAAAAGGCTTGAAGAAGAGCGTGACTTACATGGGGTCAAGCCAAAGTAGAGGCGATAAACTGAATTGTCACTGTCCCGTTTGATAAAGCAATGGATTGGGGATTCACGGGGACCAGGCTGGTTCAAAGCAGAAATAGAAGAAATACTTTCTTCAATTTATTTGACACATTGGTGATAGGAATAAAATGAAAACTAAACAGAGTATGAACAGTTACCTGCTTCAGTGAAATGGGAAAGGTAAGTCTACCACATTCCTCAGGAGTCCTGACAATCTCTTTTGTAACTTCTCTCCATGACTTGCAAACAGATGCACAAAAGATAACCACCTTACGAGCAGGCCAAGTTGTCTCACTCTCTTCAACCCTGCTGATTATATCAAAAAGTAGCTCTGGTGGTAAATTTGCCCATTGCCCTTGTTCACTTGGTTCAAAAGGGGCCACATCGGGGGCTATATGAGACCGGGTTCTGTTGCGCCAATGTCTACCTTCCGCTCTCCTCCTTGATATATTCCCTATCCCATCTCTCATCTCCCGCAACTCACGGACAATGCTCTTGAAGGACATTTCTGTTGATCGCATCAACCAAGTCTTACCTTCAATGAAGTGGCAAAAGATTTAGAACAAAGAAGCAGCGTAATTACTGCATTTCAACCATCAACTGAATATTCTTTCTAAATGACAAAACCACCTCCCCCAAACCCCTAACATTAACTCTTTCCCACTTAGCTCTTTTAGTACTCGAACTCCAACTATAATCCAAACAATTAGGCTATCCTTTTCCTTGTCTATCTCGAGTAAATATTTATGGAAAAGAATTACAATTTCCCCTTTTTATCATCTTAAGTAAAGTTCAGTTTACTTTTTCAATTCAAAACTCTTAGTCGAGCTGATTGCAAGATCGATTTTATGTTCAAGATTCAAGAAGGAGGAGAGGAACCACCACCCAAAGGTGCTTTTACGAAAGCATGATCACCAGTAGCTAATACCATTACCTACTACATACATCATGTCTTCAACTAGCAGATCTTAACAATGTGGTTAACCCTCTATGTTAATTAAAAAAGATTACCTAAAACATCTTAAACAAATAATTAAACCGAAAATTATTTATCTCTGTCCCCTCCTCATTAGGGTGGGGTTGTAGGATTTGCAATAAACTATTGAACAGGTAACCATCTCAACAATCAACATCAAGATTGTATTGCGAAGAAAAATAAAAAAACATGATCAATCAAGTAATCCCAGTTCGACATTTGTGTTTTAGCAACAACACCAATTCCAAAATTTAAAATGCCAGTTTCCCTAACAACAAAACAATAGAAAACCCCAAATCCAAGAAAGTGAATAAATCAACCGTCAACATCCATTCCCCTACCGATTTCAATTTCATTACAATGGTGGATAATTTTGTGTTACGCCGGTACAAATGTAGGAAGGAGAAGGAGAAAACCTGAGAAATTATATGAAAAATGAGATCAATGAAAGACGGCCAATGTCTGTTCCATTTGTGAGATCGCCGCCGGTAAACGCCGCTTCCTCCGCCACCAATGTAGAAGAAAAGGGTCAAAGATGATTGATACAGTTTAACTATACGTATGTAACCCCCGTACCCCCACCGCCCCACCCCCCACCAAGTTGGATTTATTATTATTGAGGGAATTATTATTCTCTTTAATTTAATCCACTACTTTATTTAAATTTTGTTTTCTTTTTTCTTGTATACTTGAAATAAATAAAAAGAATTATATATTTCCAATGGTTTTTTTGGTTGCTATAAATCACCAAGCTAAGATTAGTTTATTTCTTAACTATTTTTCTAGTATTTTTAATATTCAGAGTCATATTTGAATGGGTGTTCATGAATTTTATCCTTTTCCTTTTTTAGACATTTCATGACTATAATAAGACTTAAAATAGGAGGAATAAAGATGCTAACTTTGACTATCATAGTGTAAAGATTTTTAATTAGATTTTGGTATCTCAAAAAGACCTCGGAGTATGTATTGTAACATGGCAAAATCATGACTTGCTTTCAAGTTTGAACAACTTTATATTTTATATAATATAGTTTATATTTTGAGAATCAAACAAAAAAAAAGTTAACAACGATTTATTTGTATGTCTTTTAAATTTTTAATTTTAGTGAATAGTTTTTATGTAATTTTTAAATATGTAAATTATATTTTAAAAAATTTAAAGATTATATATTTAAATTTACAATCTAAATTAAAGAAGTTGAACTCTCAAAATTTAAACGGTTATATAAATTAAAATAGTGAGAGTACCTTTTCACATATAAATTTAGCTCAAGTGGAATTGTAAGTTGTAAATTTAATTGTATATTGTAAGATAATATTTGTATAGACTATTTTATTTAAACTGTTTTTTCATATAAATTAGGATGTGGAAAATGTAGTGCTCAAAAAGCCCGAGAAATTGAATACTCAGTAGTTTGACTTTACATAAAGTTTAAGAAAGAAAGATTTATTTTAAAATTTATGGTTTCAAATAAATTATAGATATTTATGTGGTTATAGATTATTTTGTAAAATTGACATGTTAAAGTTAAAGTATTACTAAATTAAGAAATATGCCTTTTTTTTTTAGATTGACTAAAAAACAAAATGAGCCATATAAAATAGAACAAAAAAGTATCATTTATATCGTTCTAAATTGATCCATAAAATTTGAGTTTAAACAAAATCCGTCTCTTCTCCATCCCTTTTTTCCACGTAGATAATGCCTACTTTTGTTGAATAATTAATTTCTGGTTCACGTATGAAAATTACCCCCCTAATATTATTTTTTTTCTTTCTTTTTTTGGGTCAGAGAAATAAAGGAGGAACTAGTACAACAAATAATAGTTATCCAAGTGGAGACTTGTAAAGGAGCTTGAGGCTGGGGTGTTCAAAATCGAATCGTAATCAATAAATTAATTGTAGCATTAGCTTATTGACTTATTGGTATTGGGTTATCAAATAAACGGTTGATATAGATTAGAATTTTATAATTAACGGTTTATTAGTGTGGGGTGGATTGCTCATTTTCCTTATTGGATAAACCATTAACCCGTTAGAAGTTACTATACTCACACTTTTAACTTAGGTGAATTAGCATCATTTAATATTTTTCCATAATATATTATTATATATTTGTAGTTCTAAGTCGTAAAGTCAAAAACTTGAAAACCTATTTACTTTTCTGTTATTAACTATTACATTACTATTAATTTTTTGTAATATAGAAGAATTTTATAATTTAACTGCATTTAAAATAATAAAAAGAAGTCATTTTTTAAGGTGCGTTCATGGAGAAAAAAAGGTAGAAGTTAGCCGATACAGCATCCGCTAACCGCCACACAAGTGCTAATCTAATATCGAACCAACCAATATCTTATAGGTTAACTAGCAGATTAGTAAATTTAAAAACCAATATTCGGCCAACGAAACTATCCGCGCGATAAGCGCCGTGCCTTGAGGACTCTATACTTTCATTTCTTTAGAAAGGAAAAATGAGTGGTTTTGAATGCATATAATTAAAACAATATATAGTTTTTTTAAGAAAAAAATTATTAAACCAAAATAATTTTATCAATTGTGTCCTCTGTCTTTCTTATAGTTAATAGTTAATACCAAAAGTAAAAACTATTCTAATCTCATCAACTTGTTTTTTATCACTCGATAATAGTAGATTAATACGATTTGATGGAGGATAAGATAGTTGAAAATAACTTTAAAGATGTGAAATTTGTAATGTTTATATAACTATAACTTAATAAATTATTATTCCCTCCTTTTGTGTACGGTTGTTCACTGAAAGGAATACCCTAACAAATAAATATTAATAAGTGAGATCTAAGGCTTCTCTAAGCCAAAAAAAAAAAAAAAACTATGAAAGAGGAGAAAAGCAACTAAATCTTACAAATAAATCCATCTCTTGCATAACTTGGTGTACACTAAAGTGTGGTTTGATTTACCGTATTAATAAAAAATAATCCCAACATAATATATATGATGCTTGGTTAGTTCGTATAAGAAAAACAGTACTTAATATATGATATGATCTCATGCTATTATTTATCGCATAAAGCATAACTATTATGTGAACCAGACGACTCCGAATAAGGGTCACATTATGATCCGTTAAAGGATCAAATTCCCTAAAAGTGTCTGATAGTCTTAAATGCTTATCAGACTTGTGAATGTTTTCATGCTTAAGTGCAAAGATGATAAAGAAACTGTTAATATTTGATTAAAGTAAAACCTTTAGATTCAAGTTGGTTTAGTGAGAACGACCGCGAAAGTCATCTTTGACAAATGTTCCTTAAAATGTTTTGTTCTCTTTACATGCTAGTGTTAACATGCATCTCATACAAGCCAACTAGTAAACATTACTTCTTTACCTCAAATGGTAAAGTCTATGCTCTATCTAGTGGATTAATTTGGTTGGTCTTATAAACTGTCTCTTTCAGTATCAGTATTTTGCTTACAAGTTTTGCCCATTGAAATCCTTTTTCTACCAAATCTCTGTTACAACCTACCCTGCCTTCAACAAAACTGAACATTAACTTTCACTTCTATAAATAGGCCATACATTCATCAATGTCTTATCCATTTTCAAACAGGTGTTTGAGAGTTTCAACTCAATGGCGGCTAACCAGACAAACTTCGTTAAACTTTTAGTCTTCCTTGTCTATGGATTTCTTTGGTTTAGTTGTCAACCTGCTGAGGCTGCCATAAAGAAATACCAATTCGACGTTAGTGCCTAGCTAGTTCCTGTTTTCCTTGATTCATAGCTAATGTATTTGTCTCAGGCTTTATTCATCATGTACAAGTTTTTGTGTTTTGTAGATTCAAGTGGCAAATGTGAGCAGATTGTGCCATGCAAAGCCAATGGTCACAGTTAACGGGAGATTTCCAGGGCCTACAATTTACGCTAGAGAAGGAGATAGAGTTCAAATCAATGTGACTAACCATGCTCAATATAACATGTCCATCCACTGGTGAGAACTTAAAACTCTTCAAAATCTGTTTAATTTCAGGTTCTCAAGCAAATGTATATACATGTTAACCATTGCAGGCATGGATTGAAACAATATCGTAATGGTTGGGCAGATGGACCGGCTTATATAACTCAATGCCCTATCAAGACAGGAAATAGCTATGTCTATGACTTTAATGTAACAGGACAAAGAGGTACCTTATGGTGGCATGCACATATTCTTTGGCTAAGGGCAACTGTATATGGCGCCATTGTGATACTTCCATCACAAGGAACCCCCTTTCCTTTCCCCCAACCTGATAGGGAAGAAGTAGTTGTACTAGGTCAGTTTTCAGTACTCGTAAATATATACATAGAATGTACTTTTTTCTGAAGATCTCCTCTGCCAAATCATGAATCAAGATGGTAATAATTATGTTCATTATGATGCAGGAGAATGGTGGAATGCAGATGTTGAACAAGTGGAGAACCAAGGAAATGCACTAGGTATACCTCCTAATATGTCTAATGCTCATACAATCAATGGAAAGCCAGGGCCACTTTTTCCATGTTCCGAAAAATGTAAGAGATTGATATTGCTTCAGCTTATCAATTTGATATCTTACTATATGCGCGATGCACCAGGTAGTGACTTGAAGTTTCAACTTTCTTTGGCAGATACCTTTGCCATGGAAGTAGAAAAAGGGAAGACTTACCTGTTAAGAATTGTCAATGCTGCACTCAATGATGAGCTCTTTTTCACCGTTGCAAATCATACTTTAACAGTGGTGGAAATTGATGCAGTTTACACAAAACCATTTTCCACAGAAACCATTCTGATAGCACCAGGACAGACAACAAACGTTTTGGTCCGAGCCAACCAAATTCCCGGAAGATACTTCATGGCTGCCAGGCCTTTCATGGACGCTCCGGTCCCAGTAGACAACAAGACTGCAACTGCTATATTCCAGTACAAGGGCATCCCAGAAACTGTTATCCCTAAACTTCCTAACTTGCCTGCTCCTAATGACACAGAATTTGCATTGAGCTATGACAAGAAGCTCAGGAGCCTAAATTCACCTAAATATCCAGCAAATGTTCCACTAAAAGTTGATCGAAACCTCTTCTACACCATCGGTCTAGGAATCAATGCTTGTCCCACTTGTATAAATGGAACTCGGTTCTCAGCTTCTCTAAACAACATATCATTTGTCATGCCACAAACTGCACTTCTTCAAGCTCATTACTTCAACATTAAGGGTGTGTACACTACAGATTTCCCCGACAAACCTCCTACTGCTTTCAATTACACAGGGGCTCCTCTTACAGCAAACCTCAGGACAACTCAAGGCACAAGACAAGTAAAATTGCCTTCAATTCTACAGTAGAGTTAGTAATCCAAGACACCAACTTGTTGACAGTAGAATCACATCCTTTCCATCTCCACGGTTACAACTTCTTTGTCGTTGGAACTGGCATTGGAAACTTTGACCCAAAGAAAGATCCTGCAAAATACAACTTGATCGATCCTCCTGAAAGAAACACAGTCGGTGTTCCTACTGGTGGTTGGACTGCTATCCGGTTCAGAGCTGATAATCCAGGTACCTAGTTTTCTACTAAGTTTAAGGTTGTTACAACTTTCATAATCCCTTTCGACATGTAGTTGCAATTTTCTTTCTATGAAGGGGTTTGGTTTTTCCACTGTCATTTGGAGTTGCACACAGGCTGGGGACTTAAAACAGCATTTGTGGTGGAAGATGGACCAGGATCAGATCACAATGTTCTCCCTCCACCAAAGGATCTTCCACAATGCTAATTTTACAACGCGATCTTTTATCTGCAGATTGATTTCATATCACGTTTACAATTAATTCACTTCTATTCCTCGTAATGCTACAAATGAGAGAGGCAACTCTGAGGACCATAAACATTTAAGACTTGTTTAGGGAATGTCCTAAACAATGAAGGGAGCTTCAGTCAAGTAATTTAACGGGTTGTTTTCTTCTATCATCTATTCTTGAACTGGCATGATCGAGTTAAATTGCTTTATATCGTCTACTGGAAACTTGGTAGTCTTATTGTAGTATTCGCTTCAACAAACATCTAAAAGCATACATGGAAAAGAAACTACAATATTCAGATTTCTAACATCACTTAAGATAATGATCAATGAAATATTTTCTCGTACGGTATAAGAACTAGGCATTAGGAATTTTCTGTTCCAACATTTCTAACAAGCTCTCGGTACAGCAGGAAAAAGAGTGGAAAGAAAACAAGGAGTAGGCATGGATCAATTAAACACATTTTATAGATTTACAAGTAACTGTGAAAACAACTCCAGTATGATTCTGAAGAGATTATTGTTTTACAAGACAATTTCACATCTATGATGACTACAGTGTCTCCTTGTGAATCCTAACAAAGCAAATTGAAATAAAACAAAGTGAAACTCCTTTGAACGAGTATAGACAAGAATAAGTTTTAAATCTGACTTTCGGGATTATGGTCCCTGAGCTTCTCAGCTTCAAGTTTTTGGTCCCTGAGCTTTTCAGCTTCAAGTTTTCTCAAAGCAGTAGAACTCAGTTTGTCTCCACTTGATTCTTCAGAAACAAGATCTACAACTTCAATCTGCACAACATTTTCGACATGCAATTTCATAGTTGACGAAACAAAATAGATGATAAGAAAGCTGAAAACAGCAGCCCAAAGGACACTGCTCTTAGGAGGCATGAGTCGGACCTTTAGCTGCGAGAGTCCTTTTTCAGCCCTCTTCCTATTGACAGACAGTCCACCAGGCAATGTCTCCTTGCTATCACACAAGATCTTTAATTAGAAACCTTAAACTACCACTGAAGTAATACACTTTCCATTTCAAAAAAAAAAAACTCCCACTAAAGTCTTTTTGAGAAATTACAGCTTGCTATCACCGTCAAATTATGCTTTACTAAAATTTGGTAATGATGAAATGAGTACTGCTAGAGCTTGGTTCTTAAGATTCAAGATTTCAAAACGTAAGTTTCATATTGCTGCAAGGAAACTCTAAAGCAATTCACATAAATCAATAGTTTGTAGAAAGAACTTGGTGATGAGATGCCTAGGTAAAATTCTGTCAACATCCCATAGTAGCCTCTGGGTATAAGAGAATGATGTCTAAACCTTAGTGGGAAAAAGGAGAAAGAGATCTAAATCAATAGAAGCAGAGGTGTAATGATTTCTTTACGCACCTGACGACAATGGCCTCCAAATTCTCATCGACGATTGACGGACCATAGGGATCCACTATTGGTTCTACTTCCACTATCAGCTCAGGTTTTATAGACTGAATGTACGGTTTGCAGCAAGGAACATGTCATTGTCATCACAATACAAGTAGGAAAAGCATTCTGCATGCTGGACGATGTGATGTGGGTTTGATGGTGCACTTATTTGCTTCTGAATCAAACTCTAGTATGCTACTGACAGTAAAAAGCATCAGCTACAGCATACTTTTCTAAACCAAAGCCTTTTAGAAAGAGAAAAACGTTTGTTGCTATAGGCAAGATTCACATTGAAACAGAAAAAGATTGGACATACTCCATTCAAACCCACCATCTCAGCTGGACCAGTAAGAAAGCTCTTCCTATGATATTCAAAATCAAATTATACTTGCCAAACCAGTTGATAGAAGAATACATGAACATAAAATTTTGAGCTTAAAAGTACCTTGATGTAATCTTCAACATGTTTCATTCTCAGCTCAATTGGCTCTATCAGATCAGCATACTGCCAAAGGAAGACAAAGACGTAAGCACTGCATAAAAAGATAAGATAGAAGGAAGAGAACAAAAAGTTACAAATAGAGTTGAACATCGAAACTTAACATTGATAGAGTAAGAGGATTGGACTCATCTGAAAACATAAGATAATATAGTACTTCAAACTCAAAAATCATCCTTATCAGAAAAATCAAGTACGAGATTTAACACCTTGGTTCATCAAATGTCCAGAGAAATGATTATGAACAAGCTTTTAAAGGCCTAGGAATTTATTTACTCAACTTCCAAGGATACAATATTAACTGTTTAGATAATTTATTTGCAGATCCTATTAAGATAAAAAATAAGGTAGAATGAAATGTTTGGCTGACGGTAACCTAATGATGCAACTAGAACCTTGGGCCAAAGGACACAAGCAAAATGTGAGAGCACAGAGAGAAGTTCCGTAGAGTGGATCCTATAAAGGCGTGTAAATAACAAACTTCTCAGCAATATCATTTAAGAAAATAGAAGATGGTATCAAGAGCGTGACTTGGTACTGCAGCCAGTAGCATCTTTTTGTATTTATCAGAGGATAACTTGGTACTGCAGCCAGTAGCATCTTTTCGTATTTACTTCAAAAGTATCAAAAGTTGATAAGAAGTTTCGTCTGGTACAAGGCCCCTGCTATACCCAAAATAACTGGCAAAAGTCTAAATACATAAGAAGAATGCTCAGAACTGAAATGGGGTTCACCAAAAGACTGAAGGAGGAGGGAGATGATACTCGTTTCACAACAACAAGAAAACAATTCAAGGACTACAAAATTCCAAAGAGAAAAAGAGAAAGACAACTTGGCATGATATGCAATAGATCTTCGACTAACACAATGGACTACGAGATCAAAATGTGATAAACTGGAAACATATAGCATTCACAGTTGAAGTAATGCCAAGTCTAGTTATACCACAGTTTACTGTGGGAAATTAAAAGGCATCAAGAAAATAGAGCTGATGAGAATGAGCATATTGAGTTACACATGATGAACATATATGTCGCTATCCTGACATAGCATGTGAAACCCCATAAGAGAAGGTGCAACAGTTGCCTCAATAGCTCATTACAACTTTTTGTATTAGTATCACTTGTTAGAACTCAGAAGTCATCACGAACTTATCCTTTTTCTTTTTACTTTATTTATGGAAATTTTCCTTGTATACATCAAATTTTGTATATACATAGTATGCATTGCACTGACCATGAAAAATTGAAATTTAAAAATCCGAAAATATAAACAACAAAAAAAAAGGCTGAAGGAACCTCCAAAGATGGACATCAGGACATGAGCCGACTATTCTTATCTATTTTAAGTCATATTTTCAAGTTGAAGATTTTCGAAATGAAGAATCTCCAATCTTCTTTAGATTCCCAAATAGCCAAGTAATCTATTCTCATATATCTTACTTACATCATGCTCTATCCAAAATTCCCAATCGATTTGCGAAATTTTCCAGGAACCACACATAAAAGACCACTCTCCAATTTTCTTTAAAAGATTCTAGGCTATACATGTTACCTTTGCAAAAGACGAAAAAAACAAAGAATAAGGGTGTGTTCGGTGTGGGGGGAAATATTTTTCTAAAGATGTTTACTGACTTTCTCATGTTCGATTGTTCAAAAGTTTTTCTAGGAAAACAAGCTCCTTAAAAATGAGCGAAATGACTTGCCTAATGAAAGTAAGGAAAACAAGTTGTGCAAGCAGCATTCCACATTGATTATGAGGACTCCACACCCTCCAACTTACCTTATCTTCATCCACCCCTTAGCCCTATCCCCACCGCCCCACTACCCACCTCCCATATTGTTTGCCCATATTATGTACAAATACTTTTAGAATAATAATTTTAACTTACTTACCGAATACAAGAAGATAATTAAGAAAACCACTTATTTTCCTAGAAAACATTTTCCCTCGAAAGGAACACACCGTAAATAAAAGATACCACTTTTCATTCTCTTCTGCATCTCAGCCCCCTTTTTGCTACTCAAATCTAAGTAGCCTCCAACAGGCACCCTATTTGTAGAAGTTGTATTCTCCTCTGATTTTTTGTAGCTTCTTTGTAACAAAGAGCTTCCTGATCTTTGGCAACTCGGGACTTAGCAATTTCAAAGCTTCCACATTTCAATTTCAATAAAAGGGCTCATCAACAACGTAATAGCAAAACAACAAGAAACAAACTAATAAACATAGAATATAAAACATGAGAATTACCTGTTTCTTAGTCAACATTGGACCATCGCAAACACCAACAACAATTCGATTCTTCGCCAATTCAGCAGCCGACTGCCAGAAAAAAAAAACATCACTTACTAGTAATAAAGATTGTTCCTTTTGATGAATGAGATTATTAAAGGGGAAAAGGGTATCGGAAAAACCTTAAGAAAAAGTCGGTGACCTTCATGTAAACGATCAAAAGTACCTCCAAGAACGACGGAAGTGTAGGAATTAGGTGGAGATAAGGTGGACTTGGGATTTGATTCCTCCATTACTGACATCTGCTTCTTCCGATGATGGCTGACTCGCCTGTATTTATTTATTTGAAGCTTTCCTACTGTTTCACAAAATTGGTCAATTAGTCCCCTAACTATCATTTTTGACACATTACTCCAAAAGTTAAGACGATCAATTATTTGAACATCCCATTTTTATCGAGCAACAATGCCGTCTTACTTCTTGGATTTACAACTTCAAGCATAAAACGGTACGCATTAAGCACTGCATATCCGTGCTTATGTGTTCCCCTAACATTAGACTTAGCATGCTCCATGCCCTTATAAATCTTCCAATAAATTACCTTACAACCCAATTCTGTGTGGAGTTGATTTGACATGTCTCTTGTGGATGGGCCTTTACCATTGGGAAACCTATTTTCAAAGTACTTACCTATGACTTTTGCCGTGGCATAGGGATTATGGCTTGTAAAATGCTCTGAACCACACGTATGGTACTTTTCATAGATTCTGATGACAAACTTGTCGCTACTTGTAAATTTCACAGCCCTCAGTCTCCAATTGCACTCCGGATATGAACATTTAAAAGAAAATACATTACGAGAATTGATCACCTTTTTTGGTCTAAAATCTTTTTTCAAGAAAGCAATTTTTAATGAATTTGCAAGTTCTTCCTTGTTCTTGAATGTCATTCCCTTATAAAAACCGGTTTCATCATCTCGAACATTATTCACACGTGATGATTGAGAAGAACATGGAATGTTACTACCAACAATAGGTGTAGGAGGATTGTTGCTCTCAAAGTCCGGCACTTCATCTTTTCCAATTTCAGCATCGTGATTATTCATGTCCACAACATCAAATTCATCATTTAACATATCTTGTTGGTCTTCTTCTAGATTATGATCCTCCTCGTTAGGATTTTCATCCACATAGACTCTTAATATGGGTGGTCTCTCTGCTCCTCCCAAATAAACAAGCAAACTAGGTTGATCAGTTATTTTAAAAGCTAAGACCTTCTCATTATGAAAAAAATGGGAAATGTAACTATGACAAGATCTTTCAGTTGACAATTGTATCCACATTTTTGCATGACTAAATTCACAAAATCATCATACAAAATATTTTTTTCGATAGTCATCCCTACCGACCCTCCCCTTTTCTAACCATCCTTCCAACGCCAAATGTATTGATTTTTCTTCTCGACCCATTCACCACGACAATCAATTCCTACAAATAATCCCTCCATTTATTGTACCTGAAGAAATTAATTAAAAAAACAATTAGTACTAATGAAGAAATGTGTAAGTCATATGTTGCAACATATGACTATTATGTGGTGACATGTAAGTCATATGTTGCTACATATAACTGATATGTTGTGACAAATAAATCACATGTGGCAACATGTGTAAGTTATAAGTAGCAACATATGGCTATTCTGTTGCGAAATGTAAGTCATATGTTGCTACATATAGCTATTATGTTGCGAAACATAAATCACATGTTGTGATAGAATGTATAAGTCATATGTTGCAACATATATAACCATCTGTTGGAAACGCGAATACAAATTATTGAAAAAATTGCGGCTACCCATATGATGATGAATGATTTCAAAGAACTGTTAATATTACTTACCAAAACAATGGTGTGTCAACCCATCACTTATGAAGTAATTCCAATTGATACAGAACGAAATCTGGTCCATTGATTAGATTAGCTAAATCTGATTCAAGAAGATGAAAAGAAGAAGAAAAAAACTCTAGGACTAGCAACCAAGACCAACAATGTACGAAAAGAAGAAGATGAAGAGAACGCGGGAAGAAGAAAAGAAAGGCAAGCAACCAAGCAAGAAGAGAGCAAGAACAAAGCAGAAGAAAAATAAGAAGAGGAATAGAATACGAGGGGAGGCGAGAGGGAAATGTTTTATTTCCCCCCTTTTGGTACAACTGGTGGCTTCCCTCCAATTTTGGTTCCCACCAAAATTGGTTAAATTAGGTTTTAGTCATTTACCCTTTTACCTCTCATTTAATTCAATGGACCAAACTGTCAACTTATAAACTTGAGGGCAACTCCACAATCCTTAATCATTAATCACATAATTGTCACCTACACTCAATAATTAAGACTTATGTCACCGCCCCTTTATTTTGACACATTAATGTCACCTTTAATTCAAAGCCCCGTAAAATTTGTTGTGATCTTTCTGTGAAGAAGTGAGAGCAGCGGGTTAACTTTAGAATATAGGTTTAAGGAAGCGGGTTGAAGTGGAGAATGTATTGTGATCAACTCAGAATTAATTTAAAACGAGTTTATTGAATTGGGTTGAAAACTGACCCAAATCTAAATTATGCTGAACCCAACCCATAAAAGTATGGGCGGATTGGACGGGTTATTAAGTTTGGGCTCATTTTTGACACCCCTATCGAGAAGCATGAAAAATCTATAAAGACATATTAAAGCAATACTATCAATTTTGATTTACAAGACTATTATTAACTACTTCCTTCGATTCATTTTAGTTATCGTGCTTATTAAATAAAATTAACTTATATTTTGAATAGGAAAATTACGAAGAATAAGAACAATTCATGAGTAGTTTATGTGGACAAATCCACCAACATGAGAAGTAAGGCATGTGGATAGATCCACCAACTTTTTTTTAGATACATTGAATGTAGACAATAGCATTGAGGACATTATGGAGTGATCACAATACACAGTGATATTATGATGATCGAGTTGATTGAGCTGGTGATTTTTTAAATAAAAGACTTTTAGATTCAAAATTTCTTATATGTTTTCTCGATTGAGCTCATCGTATGAGACTTGTCTAGTATAATTTATCTCTCCTTTTTACAAATTGTATGATGTATGGGATATGTCCTTGTCATCAAAGGTCATTTTCACAACACTAACACAAAAGTAGCAACATATCTACTATACCAAATCTGTTGAAATTAGATCTCTTGGCAAAGAGTAACACAGTTTTATTTTACCAACAAAATAAAAGAATGTGAAGCAAGTAAGATATAATGCTCCTTACATATTTTTAATCTTTTTAGATCCGTCAACTAGTATTGTGTAGAGCAATATTATTGATAAAATAGGTATAATTTAAAACCAAATTGACTTACATTAATAGTTGATAGAATTGGGTTAAGATTTTTAAATCTCATTTAAAAGGAAAAATTTGGAAGAATATTCATTCGATCATTTTACCAATCAAAATTAACTCAATTATTAGTCTAATGGATTTTTGAATAAAAACATCCTCAAACCATATCCAAACTTTATGACACATCTTTAAACTATAAACATCCTCGAAGTTGAGGTCAAAATTTAGCAAGCTTCATCCTTCTTTTATTTTGCACTATTTGCATAGCTTTTTTTTATGTTGCAATCCCTTACTTGTTCTTGCATACATGGTTATGTGCCCCCATTCCCTATAGAATCAAAGAGTTTCCCGGTGATTCTTAGGTTGTGCTTACGAAAATATGAAAATGTAAGAGCAAATGGCTCAATAGAGTCTCTAGGTTTTCTTCTTTTTTGTTGTTATATTTGATGATCATAGTGTTTGAGTCAACTTTGGTGCAGCTCAATTAAATTCATAATATACCATTTTTCTGGCTTCCATATTTTACCTGTAAATTGGCCCTTGCAGTTTCATCCATTTTTCACATTGCGTTCCGAAGTAATAATGGTACGTCTTAAACGAATCACAACTATCGACTCCTCCTTCCTTGGATTATTCACAACTCCCGCCATTTATGAATTGAATTCCTCCCTCCAAAAGCTGCAGGTGCAACCCACACACCACCACCTACAACAACTCATCCTCTCTCATTTCTCAAATACAAATAACAATCCACATTCTTCACAAACATACGCCACACTCTTCCACGCCTGCGCCCGCCTTCATCGTCTCGACATTGGCCAAAAACTCCACCACCACTACACACTTTCCCATCACCTAATCACACCACATCAACAAAAACTCTACACCATCAATCATCTCCTTAACATGTATGCTAAATGTGGTGATCTAGAATATGCACACCACCTGTTTGATCAAATGCTCCACAGAAACATTGTTTCCTGGACTTGTCTTATTTCCGCCTACGCTCAATACGGAAACACTGATCAATGTTTTCGCTTATTTAACAAGATGTTAACTCATTATACCCCTAATGATTTTGCTTATGCTAGTGTTCTATCTGTTTGTGATACCAGTACATCGCGTGGTAGGCAAGTACACGCGCTTGTAATGAAAACAGGTTTTGATACGTGTGTTTATGTGTGTAATGCTTTGATTGCAATGTACTCAAGGCATAGTGGAAGTACGGAGGCTTGGAAGGTTTTTAATGATATGGAGTTTCGGAATATTGTTTCATGGAATACAATGATAGCGTTGTTTCAAATATGTGGACAAGGTGATAAGGCTATGAGATTTTTCTCCTTGATGCATCGTGATAGTTGTTTGGGGTTTGATCGAGCTACTCTTGTTAGTGTACTTTCTTCTCTATTAGGACAGGATGAAATTGATTTTTCCTGGGGTCTTCGAAGTTGCTTTCAATTGCATTGTGTTAGTGTGAAAACCGGGCTTATACTAGATGTTGGGATTGTGACTGCTTTGGTGAAAGCTTATTCGATTCTCCAGGGAGAGGTTAGTGATTGTTACAAATTGTTTCTGGAAACAAATGGATGTCAAGATCTCATGTTGTGGACTGAAATAATTGTGGCGTTTTCGGAAAGGGATCCTGAGAAAGCTATTCTCCTTTTTGGTCAGTTGCTCCGAGAGGGGTTAAGTGTAGATAGTTATGCTTTTTCTATTGCACTGAAAGCTTGTGCGGGACTCTTGACAGATAGAAATGCCTTGATGGTGCACTGTAAAGTGGTTAAATCTGGTTTTGTGGATGCTCTAGTGCTTGGAAATGCATTAATTCATGCATATGCAAGGTGTGGCTCAATATCTCGGGCCAGTCAGGTTTTTGAGGAGATGAGGTACAGAGATATAGTGACATGGAATTCCATGTTGAAGGCTTATGCATTGCATGGCAAAGCAAATGAAGCATTGGGACTTTACGGTAAAATGGATGTGAAACCTGATGCAGCCACTTTTGTTGCTCTGCTTTCAGCTTGCAGCCATGCTGGAATGGTGCAAGAAGGGATTCAAATTTTTGATGCTATGTTTGCAAAACACGGTATTGTTCCTCAACTTGAGCATTATGCATGTATAGTTGATATTGTTGGCCGAGCAGGTCATATTTTTCAGGCGGAGAAAATAATAAAAGAAATGCCCATGCAACCAGATTATGTGGTGTGGAGTGCATTTCTTGGAGCATGCCGCAAACATCGTGAATCTGGGCTCGCCCAAATAGCTGCATCTCAGCTGAAGGAGTTAGATCCAGAAAATTCATTAGGATATGTACTCATGTCTAATGTATACTGCTCAAACCATAGCTTCAATGAAGCAGGTCATCTTAGGAAGCAAATGAGAGGGCTTGGTGTTACAAAGCAGCCTGGATTGAGTTGGACAGATCTTGGTTGAAGGAGTTTGATCCAGAAAAGTCATGAGGATATGTACTCATGTGAAATGTATACTGCTCAGCCCATAGCTGCGATGAAACAGGTCATCTTAGGAAGCAAATGAGAGGGCTTGGTGTTACAAAGCAGCCTGCATTGAGTTGGACAGATCTTGATTGAAGGAGTTTGATCCAGAAAAGTCATGAGGATATGTACTCATGTGAAATGTATACTGATCAGCCCATAGCTGCAATGAAACAGGTCATCTTAGGAAGCAAATGAGAGGGCTTGGTGTTACAAAGCAGCCTGCATTGAGTTGGACAGATCTTGATTGAAGGAGTTTGATCCAGAAAAGTCACGAGGATATGTACTCATGTGAAATGTATACTGCTCAGCCCAATGAAACGGGTCATCTTAGGAAGCAAATGAGAGGGCTTGGTGTTACAAAGCAGCCTGGATTGAGCCATTGGGGTTTTGGTGCATGAGTTTGCTTCCGGAGGCCTGCAACATCCGGACAGGAGAGATATACACTAATATGGAGTTCTTTGTGAAAGAACTGAAACATATTGGTTACATTATCACAACAACAATAATATACCTAGTGTGATCCCACAAGTGAGGTCTGAGGAGGGTAGAGTGTATGCAAGACCAATCCTCCGTAGTTGAAGCTGAATCGAGAACAGGGACCAACATCTCAACGAAAGAGGTTAGATGTGGCAAATCAGCTGCCGTCCCTCAAAGAAAGGGAATCAATGAATCCAAAGCAAGGTGCGGAGAAGGCTTGGTTGAAGGCAAAATTTGGTGTAATTCGCGATTTTTTAAGAAAAGAAAAGCAGGTTAGGAAGTCTTGCTTACTTATTTCTCCATCTAAGTAAGAGAAGACCTTACCACCACCTAGTGCGAGGTAGAGAGGCCGTTCCTGATAGACCTTCGTCTCAAGAAAAGCATTTTCAAAAATAGGTTTGAAAGATACAAAAGTGAAGAAGCGCCCAATGAAACTCCCGGAAAGTAGCATGACATACAAAATGCAGAAACAAGGAAAAACTTGTGACTATACAGAATGCATAAAAGAGGCACACTTCATGTCCGGATTGTGCACACTTGAAACGGCAAGGACTGATAAATTCTGGTAATATTGATTCATTTTCTCTCTATGGCTTTCTAGCACAGATACTATTTTTTAAAAATAACTAGGCATTGTTGAATTGAGTGCAGCACCCAAGATTGAATATCCAAATGATTTCACAGCATTTGTTATCCTTGTTTCTGTATTTTGCTTACATTGGTCAATGATTTATAGTATTAGCTGGCTTATGGACTTCCAATATAGGGTATATTTGTTTCGAAAAGATTCTGAATCGCTACATGTATTAAACTATGAACACATTTTATCCTGCCTTGTATTTGATTGTTTGATTAATTGTGAACTGATGAATATTTTCAATTTCTCATGTTTTACAGAAGATAATAGCGTGCACGCTCTCTCTGTTTGAGTTAATTTTTCACATACAAGGGTATTGACTGCTTGGCTTTGTACTTCCCTTCTTTTTCAAAGGGCGATTTGGTTTACATCAGTAGCTATGAAATTATGTTATAGAATAAACAAGTTCATGGTCAAAAAAGGTACCACAGAACTCAATTATGTGTGTTATAGATGTCATTAAACAGATTGCATGGCTAAAAACTACAATAGAGTAAAAGTGAATTGTTATTTCAATGTGAATCATTACAGAAATAATAACACTAATCACTACTCTAATTGAACTGTTAAGATTAAGAATAATGTAGGCATTCATGTGTTGTGGGGTAAACTGAAGCTCTATAAAAAGGACATGTATCTTTCCTCTGCAACTAGGGGTGTGCACTATTCGGATTAAACCGAACAACCAAACCAAATCAAATCGAATTTTTATTTGGATTGGTTTTTTGGTTTTTCGGATTGGTTTTGGATTAATAAAGTACTTTGTTTGGTTTTTTGGTTTGGTTTCGGATTTAAAAAATAAAAACCGAAAAAAACCGAATTATATATATATAATGTTTAGGTTTAGAATTAAGTTGGAGTTAACCACTTTTGTCCCTTTTTGGTTATTGCCTTTCATGATAATTACGTTTATATTTTATGTTTGAATTACATCTATAATAGGTATACTTATAAGTATTGTGTTTTGAGTTTTACTTATGATTTATATTAGAAAGAATATCTAAGGGATTAAATATTATTACTTTGGTTATATATGTTATTAATTATTGACATAACCAAATAACCAAATCGAAAAAAGCCGAACCGAATAGAGGAAAACCAAATTTATTTTGGATCGGATTGGGTTACACTTTTACAAAACCAAAAACCGAAAATTCAAAGTAAAAACCGAAAATTCAAACCGAAAAATCGAATGCACACCCCTATCTGCAACCACTTGTGCTGTGGGATAAACTGAAGCTCTACAAAAAGGACATGTATCTTTCCTCTCCAACCACTTGTTGATGCATTCAGCATGAAATTTATGGCCACATTGAAGTGTGGCAATTGTATATTCATCTTTATATTCAAGCAAGCAGATAGCACATGCTTCTTGTTCCTCATCATCAGCAAATTGATCTTCCACCACCTCTTCTTCTTCTTCTTCTTCTTCTTCGTCTTTGAAATACGCAATCTCAATAATATCCTGTTCTTCCCCCTCTTCTTCTTCTTCATACTCCATTGCTGTTTCCATATTTTCAACTTCAACATTCTCCCCTGCTTCTATAAATATAAATTCTTCTTCTTCTTCTTCAACTTCATGAACAATATCACCAAGATTTGAATCCTCCAACAAACGAGGCAAGAAACTACAATCAATATGAGGCAGTTGTTCTAGTTGATTCAAGAGAGAAACATTATAAAACCAGGGAACTTGATCATGTTGAGACATGTTTCTTGACATAAAAATGACTGATTTTTGTTAGATTACGAGAAAAAAAAGAAAGTTTAGAATGGGAAATTATTGTTAATGTTAATGCATTTATAGGAAAAAATAGTTATAGGAATTTGATTCCAAACGGAAATTGAGAAATAGTTTCCTATAATGTTTCTTTTTTCCTTTTCTGGCTCCCTAATTTGTTTTTTCCAGGTTTTAGTTAATAAGAAAGTTTAAAATACGAAATTAATAGGAAAAAATATTTACAGGAATTTGATTCCAATAGGGAATTGGGAAATCGTTTTTATAATTTTTTTTTTTAAAAAATCTTGCTTTCCCCCCAAGTTTCTAATTACATTTGACTCTTTTTTTTCTTTTTAAAGAATAATCACATATCAACTTCACCCTAATTTGCAAATAAGGATCTTGACACTTACACTTTCAAAAACATTAAATTACCTATCGAAACAAAAGGTAATATTCAAATAAAAATAAATTATACACAAGTTTAAAGAAAAGATATATATGTATATATAGTAAGTCTGCGTTTCGGTCGGTTATTAAAAGATATCATTAATTTTGTTTATGTGATATTTTGTATAAATTAGTTCTTATAGAAATATAAATAAAAGAATGAAAATAAACGTTTTTTTTCCAATATTGGTCAACTCCTCAATTTTTTTTCTAAAGATAATCTAAATAAAATTAAAATAAATATAAAGATTAAAGATGTAAGAACAATAAACTGCAACTCTCCCAGCATAATTGGATAAACATGATATTCTTTATTGATGAGACGGAATTTTTCTACGAATAAATGATACAATGGGAAAAATAATTTTTTTTATAACAAACGACACCAAAACTTCACATGCTAGAAATAAAAATGCTAATTGTTTTGATGGAGTTGTGTTCAGTTCCTATTTTGAATTTTACCATATTTGTAGCTAATTATTAAAGAAAAGAAAAATAAAAGGAGATATTGTGCATTCATTTTATATCTAGAGTCAACGCTCAATTTGCTTTCACACTTCTGACACTTCTGCCTGATATTATTGAGATTTTGAGATAGAATGAGAAAAGAGTATAGAATCTCGGGTCATGCAATCGAGAGACAAAAAATAGGACTTCAGTGCCAAAAGAATAATAAAATTGATCAAATTTCAAAAAGACAAACAAATTGAAGATGAAATCAAAAGGCAAAAATGCAGGGTCCAATGCCTTTCATTTGACAGCGATACGACTTGTGCCTAGGCACATGATATCATGTGTCTTCCTTCATCCGTTAACGCCGTTCACATCGTCAAATGAAAGGGACTGGGGCTTGCATTTTTGTCCTTTTGAAAATTTTGATTAATTTTATTGTCCTTTTGACTCTGAAAGCTGAACATGTATAACTAAAGAAGCTGTTGAATTACATTAAAAAATCAGAATTCACTTAATTTTATAAGTATCCTTTCATTTACAGGTGTATATGACCAGGTTTGTTCGAGCTTTCAATTTATAAATCAAATCAAACTAATCAAATTTGAGTTTTCTGAATTTTTCAACTTCAATTTTTTTCGGATTGGTTCGGGTTTTTCAAATATCAAACCAAACTATTTGTGTCGAATTTTAAAATTTATAAATCAAACCAAACTAATAAATTTCGGATTTTTCTGGTAAAGTATTCATACAAACATATAATTAACTTGTGCTTCAAATATTTTTTTAGTCCAACCAAAATACAACTATCTAGGTGTTTCTTAAGAAAATAACATAAATTATGAGATAAATGATGACATTAAAATATTTAACAAATAATAATAATGAAATCATATAAAATAAATATTATAAATTATTAAGTTATAATGAAAATGATCAGTGTCAAGCAGTAGAAATGTAAATTGATCAATATATTCCTTTAACAAATTCAGATATCAGTGGCGCTGACAGCTCAAATCACAATCCAAACATGTTATATTAGATAAATGTGCAAGTCTCATATTCTAATAGAGTATAATGGTAATTTTTATGAGGTGAAATTTTCATATTTATTTGAATATTATTGTAGTTTATGTCGTGAAAGGACATATTAATATGCTAAATCATATTTACCTTGTAAACTACTTCTTTCTAAATAAAAAAATTATTAATATGTGTTATTATACAATAACGATAAATAATATAGTTTATCCAAATATTGATTTATTAAAGTAATATAACATAAATTATGAAATGATACATAAAGACTATTGTAGACATTGAAATTTTATAGGAATCTACAAGACGTGTTTAATTCGAGTTGGACTTTACAAGGTATATTCAATTCAAATAAAAATTCTTGGAGGCTACTTAATCCTAAACCCTAGCTCATACATATATAAAGGGTACTATATTCCCTTGAAATAAAGACATCTCAAATATTTCGCAAAATTCATGGAATTTATATCAAGAGATCAAATTCAAATCATCTTAATTCGAGAAATATACCACTAACGACCTTTGAATTATGAAGATCAAGTCCAAATCATCCTAGTTTGAGAAATACGCCACTAATGACCCTCGAATTATGAAAATCAAGTCCAACAAATCATCTTAATTCGAGAAATATGCCACTAACTGTAACGACCGATTTTCGTCGTTATAGAAAAGTCAATAGGGAAAAAAAATTGGGCCGAAAAACTTTTTCGTAGTAACTTGGGATTTCTCAATCTAGTCCAGATTTGAACGAAATCGGAGTAAGTAAGGTCTAGGAAAATCTTGTAACAATTGGGTGGTTTAATTTTGATTTTGATCACATGAGTAGATAGCTAAGACGTTAAGGGACCCGTACGACTTTACAAAATTGAATTCGGGTGAGCAGAACTCCCGAAACTGATCTTGGCGTGAATGGGTAGTTTCTGAGTGTCGTTGGTCGAATGTGTGTTGTGAAATGGGGGTATTGGAATTATTAAATTTGCTCATTGGTTCTGTGCAAGCCACTAAGACGGGATTTTTCCGCCATGGTGGGGCCGCTGCGGCGGGGTGAGTACCGCTGTGGCGGGACAATCGCGAATTAAATTGGAAATAAACCCCAAAAATGTTTTATTCTGCACTTTTCAACTTTGAGAGTTAGGAGACGACCCCAGGTGCTTTCTTGACGATTTTTCACCATTCTTAAGGTTAAAGGTAAGGTTTTAACTTCTCGAATTCATTTTCGATTCGTAGAACGTAATCTAATGTATAATTATCGATGTGGGAGGGTTTTGATCTAGAAATTATGGTGGAAAAATCCATAATTTGGATATTGGGATCATGTGTTTGATCTAGGGTTGATAGGATTGTTGGTAATTCGGGTAATTAGTTATTATTTATTGATTCTCGTGTTATATTAATTATTTATAGACCAAGAACAAGCAGAACGAATCCGGAAAGGGAAGAATCAAGTTTCTTAAGGGATTTAAGCTTTGTTTGAGGTAGGTGATGGTTGTGATTTCATATGGTGTGATGCATGTTTGTTTTTGCTTCATTATAATACGTGTATGTATGTGAATGTTGCATTATTGATCACACTAATTGTAAATGAGGATA